GACTGAGCCACCCAGGCGCCCAAACATATTTCTTAATTACATAGCCGGTACATTCTAGAATCTTAGGTATGTCTGTAGTTATTACATCTCCTTTGATTTTGTAAATGAATTGTGTAAAGCTGAAGATCCTTCCCCGTGGACTCAAGTACTCAGTCACGTTTCTTCAAATGACAGGGCCGGCCGGGACTGGGAAGACAGAGTCGGTCAAAGCTCTTGGCCATCAACTTGGACGCTTTGTTTTAGTTTTCAACTGCGATGAAACCTTTGATTTCCAGGTGAGAAGCTCTCTGAATCTGCCTGAAACGTAATGGCCTGAGAGGCCAGTTGGGGAGTGCCACACCTGGACCGCTCTCTAGGCTGTTGGCCTCACAGCTCGGCGTGGCCCATCTGCCCTGCTGAGGACCGGGATGGTGTGACTCTGAGGGAGGGGTCCAGCGTGTGTGCTCTGGCATTGACTTGGGCTGCACGTTCCTGGAAGAAATGGTTAGTGCCTGTGTGTGGGAGTAAACAACCGTAACCAACGAGATTTTCCTAATCAACAAAAGGTGATAGAATAAAAAGAACAGCTTTCTCGTTAGGATTTTGTTGGCACGGGAGAGGGAGAGGTGCGAATCGCCGCAGGCGTGCGCTGACAGTCACTGTCGTCGGAGATAGGCCTGCTGTGTGTGGGCCCCGGGCCCCGCGCCGCCCGTGTCGGCCCCGTGTCCCCTCGAGGGCAGCAGACGGGAGGCACGGGCCAGCATCGAGGCCACAGAGCCAGCCCTGAGACGCCTCCTTTGCTCTGGTTTCAGGCGATGGGGCGCATCTTCGTGGGGCTCTGCCAGGTGGGCGCGTGGGGCTGCTTCGACGAGTTCAACCGCCTGGAGGAGCGGATGCTGTCGGCCGTGTCGCAGCAGGTGCAGTGCATTCAGGAGGCGCTGCGCGAGCACTCCAACCCCAGCTGTGACAAGAGTGAGACTTCCTTCTTCTCTACGAGTTCCTTAGCGACTGCGGAGGGAAAGCCCATGGGGCTGGGTTCCATTTTGCCACCCTCAATTAGAATGGAACTTCGGTCCCGGGACTCGCTGCCGCAGACGGTGGCGAGAGCCGGGATGTTGGAGCTTGGGCAGTCGGCGCTGCTCAGGCCAGAGCAGTCCACACCCTGGCTGTCCTTCCCAGGTGGACGAGGGTCTGCTCCCTCCCACAGCCTCTGCCTGCAGCAAGTGTCGGGCCAGTGTGGGCCCCCCTGCTCCCGTCCTCCCCCTGCGTGCCCACAGACCAGCCTTCTTCCAGGGGGCTTTGGGGACGCGTCCTCTGTCACTGCAGGAGGACCTGTTCTGAGGGGCTCCGAGGGCGCCTTCCCCTGCTTCGTTCCATACAAAGCCAGGCGCACCCAGGGGGGCAGGGCGGGTGCTGGAGGAAGTAAGGCACCGGTGGCCGACCGTTCACGGGCGCAGTTAACTTTCGGTGTTGCTTCCGTTCTGCAGTAATAGGAACTTGTCTTACCGAAGGACTGGCAGAGCTCTCGGTGAAACAAGGGGGGGTGTCAGAGAAAGCAGCACTGTGTGCTCGGGGTTCTGTACCGAGTAAAGGGGTCAAGTGTGGGTGGTGGTGGTTGATCCCAGGAAAAGGCAGTCGTCAGGGTCTGAGCCACTCAGTTGTGTCACGTGGATTGATTTTTATTTCTGCAACTACTGTTGGCCTGCATTTCTATCCTCACGTTGACCTTGTGACCCACAATAATGCGCAAGCAGAGTACGCACTTCCTGCGCCTCGTGACTTTGTTCCACGTTCAGGTGGCTTTCATGTAGGTGAGGTGCGCGCGGCTAGGTCTGCCAGGCAGGGTGCCATGCCAGTAGGAGGGCCGGAGGGCAGCTCGCCTGCAGCCCTGGGCTTTGGGCTTTAGAGGCTGGTGGGGAAACGGCTGCTTTGTCTGTGATTCTAGGGAGATTTTACCCTGGTTTTGAACATTTCGAATCTTAACACCATTCTCTGATTTTCAGCTTCCGCCCCCATTACTTGTGAGCTGCTCAACAAGCAAGTGAAGGTGAGCCCAGACATGGCCATCTTCATCACCATGAACCCTGGCTACGCAGGCAGGTCCAACCTTCCCGACAACCTCAAGAAGCTATTCCGGAGCTTGGCCATGACCAAGCCTGACCGGCAGCTCATCGCCCAGGTCATGCTGTACTCGCAGGGCTTCCGCACTGCTGAGGTCCTCGCCAACAAAATCGTCCCATTCTTCAAGTGAGTGCCCCAGAGTTATCCCTGACCGTGTGCCTAGCGTGTGTGAGATGTGCCACCTAAGGTTCATCTCTAATCATGGCACAGCTTTCCAAGTGTCTGTGTCTGATTTCTTGACTCTCTGGCTGCCTGGAGCGTGCTGTTGTAAGGCAAACCCTTTCTCTTTCAGACTATGTGATGAGCAGCTCTCTTCTCAAAGCCATTATGACTTTGGTCTCCGAGCTTTGAAGAGTGTGCTGGTAAGTGCAGGAAATGTGAAGAGAGAGAGAATTCAGAAGATAAAGAGGGAGAAAGAAGAACGAGGGGAAGCAGTTGATGAAGGAGAAATTGCAGAAAATTTACCTGAACAAGAGGTTTGTACACATGTTCTTTTAATCACTCACACCTTAAACACTGATTTTTTTTTTAAAGATTTATTTATTTGAGAAAGTGCACGTGAGCAGGGGGAGGGGCAGAGGAGAGAGGCGGGCAGAGAAGCAGACTCCCCAATGAGCGTGGAGCCTGACGTGGGCTTGGTCCCAGGGTCCAGATCATGATCTGAGCCAAAACCAAGAGTCAGAGGCTTAACTGACTGAGTCACCCAGAGACCCCTAAACACTAATATTTAAATTGGCGTCTTTAACATCTAAGCCATGGCTTGAAAGTCCCCGTTGGATTCACACGTCCTGGGATGGATGGGTCGAAGACGCTATATTTGCACAGTGAACTGAGTCACTAACAGCCGCGTCTTCCTTACGTACCTTCTGGGGATACGGCAGTGGCCGTGCGAGCTGGGCTCCCTCCACCAACCCCCAAGCTCTGCTCAGAGCTCGTCTCCCTTCTCACCATTAGATTCTGATCCAGAGCGTCTGTGAGACTATGGTGCCCAAGCTGGTGGCAGAAGACATCCCGCTGCTCTTCAGCCTCCTGTCAGACGTGTTCCCCGGGGTCCAGTACCACCGGGGCGAAATGACCGCGCTTCGAGAAGAGCTGAAGAAGGTGTGCCAGGAGATGTACCTGACGTACGGAGACGGAGAAGAAGTCGGCGGGATGTGGGTTGAGAAGGTAACTGGGCTTGGCCCTGCTGGCTGCTCTGGGCGGTCACGGCAGCCGGGGGCCCCGGGAAGGAGCCACGTTGGAGAGAACTCGCACCATGAGGGCTGGGGAGGCAACAGCATCGGCTGTATGGAGATTTGACCCAAGGCTTTCCTTCTTAACTTAAAGACATAACATTTTACCTGAAAATTTCCCATTTCTGGTGTAGTTCATTCTCTGAGAATGCTGACTGACACATGATTGTTATGGGAAGTACTTACGCCAGTACAGTTTCTAGTACGAGTCCTTCCAGCTCATGGGTTAACAACGTAAATCTGCCAGTCAGCGCGTGGTTTACGTTCTGTGTTGGCTTCTTTTCTTTTCTTTCTCTGGGAGCCTAAGAAGCGTACTGTCACACGGCTTCATGCTGAGCCTGAGCAGTACCGGACCCGGTTGCACAAATGGCTCATCCATGAGTCTCCACCTCTTTAAAGGGGATCTTATGTGCCTCTTTTGAGGCAGCTTGGTAGGCATCCCCTGTTCCACTGGCTTCCAGCCAAAGAACTCCCCACGGTTTAGTTAGAACTCTTCTTGAAATATTTTTTGTAGATGTGGCCCATGTAACTTTAAAAGCTCCAGGTAGTACTTGCCTTTAGGAATTCAGAGCACCTCTCTTGTATCTGCTGCCATGAGGACGGGCTGGAGAACCTTCTTGTTCTTTCTCTGAACTGGTTATGATGTGGTCTCTTTGGCCCGGCAGGTCCTCCAGCTCTATCAGATCACCCAGATCAACCATGGCCTGATGATGGTGGGGCCCTCGGGAAGCGGGAAGAGCATGGCTTGGCGCGTGCTCCTAAAGGCTTTGGAGAGGCTTGAGGGTGTAGAGGGCGTGGCCCACATCATTGACCCCAAGGCCATCAGCAAAGACCACCTTTATGGAACCCTGGACCCCAACACCAGGGAATGGACGGATGGGCTGTTCACACACGTCCTCAGAAAGTGAGTTCACCTTGATTCCAGCAAGTGGGACCTGGGTGCTCTGTCCTTATATTAACGGTGTGTGTTACTTTTTTAGCCAAAACTAAATGATGTAAATGTCCCTGCAGAAACTGTGTAGAGTGAGCATTTCTAATCTCAGAATCTCAAGTTGGTCAATAGATGTTTCAAAACCTGTCCAAACCAGGATCATAGACAACGTGAGGGGTGAGCTACAGAAGCGCCAGTGGATTGTGTTCGACGGTGACGTGGACCCCGAGTGGGTGGAGAACTTGAACTCGGTGCTGGACGACAACAAGCTTCTGACTCTGCCAAATGGCGAGCGCCTCAGCCTTCCGCCCAATGTAAGTGGCCTTCTTTGGGGTGTCAAAGCAGATATCCTGTGTGGTAGCAGAGTGCCACTCTGGAGGTGAGGCTCCAGGTTCTGTAGTAGCAGTCAGCCATGTAAATAGTTTTCAGAGTTGATGGAATCTCCTTGTACTAGATTTTTCTATTGCTGTGGCAAGTGAGAAATATTTCCATAGGACTAATAACTTTCTGCTGTTTGCTGAATGTTAAGCATACTCCAAAATTCCTAATTAACACTTTTAACTGAACATTATGGGGTTGTTAGGATTTCTGAAGTTATCATGTATCTGGGAAGCGGCAAAATTAGTAATTTAGATATGGAAGCTTTCAAGACTGTGTCCCTTAGAAATGAGCATTTGGTGCAGGTCCTGGACACACCACCAGATAGGTAAGGAAACATGGGTGGGCCTGGCAAGGATTTGCATTCTACTGAAGGTCCAGCAGGAAAAAACCAGACCAAACCCCTGCTGTCCTGGGGCGCACAGTCTGATACGGAGGACAGAAAAACAAGGGAAACAGCGTTAAGTGGTAAGGAAAAGATGAGCTGGAAGTGAGTGGTGGGCGTTGGCAAGATCTGGAGGACGCACCGTCAGGGAGGGCGACGTGGAGGCATCACCGAGAAGTGTTTGTAGAGATCGAGGCAGGTGAGGGAGCCAGTCTGTGGGCCTCCAGGCGTTCCAGTTCCAGGTGAAGGGGCAGAGAAGAGGGGGCTTGGTCAGAGGTGCGAGGAGCAAGGGGGGCGGGGGAAAGGTGGGTGAGACCAGGGAGGAAGGGGGCCAGTCAGGTTGGGCTGGGGTCACTGTGAGGACTGGCACCCGCCCACTGGGTGAGTTGGGAGCCATGGGAGGGTCTGGATCAGATCCCTCTGGCTGTTGGGTGCGATTACTAAGGAAGTAATCGCAGAGGGCAGAGTGGGAGCTGAGCGGTAGCCCAGGCACGGCCGGGGGTGTGCGCCAGAGGAGTTGGCAACACGGGGGCTGCTGAGTTTCAGTGTAATTTAAAGTTCGTGCTGGTGGGAGTCGCCGAGGGGCCAGAGGTGGGCGTGAGACAAAGGACGAATCATTTTGCGTGAGCAGCTGGTGAATGTGAACCTTTGGGCCAGCAGTGGTGGCTGTCATCAAGTCAGAAACCAAGCCAGGGGTGCCTAGTGCCGCTCAGGAAATGTGCACTTGGACTTGTGTCTTGTTTGACTTGTCGGGTCTTTCTGTTATGGCTTGTTATCCAGTAGATCCTAACCATCGTTGGAAAGAGATTGCTCTCCCGGGAGGCAGGCTAGCCCTGAGGTTAAGGCTCGGGAATCAGACCATCTGGTTTGAATCTCAGCCCCATTTACCAGCAGCGGGATCCGAGTGAGGTACCCAGCCCCGTCTGTGAAACAGAGTCACATGCCTGCCTCAGGGGATCCGTGTGAGGGTTCGTGGGTCCAGGCGGGGAGTATGGCAGCCACACCCAGCTTGGGGTAAGGCTGGTGCACGTCTGCTGCCGATGCCCCTCTGAGGCAGCTGTTTCTTCTCTCCACCGAGAGCTTATCTTGAGGGCTCACCTGCTCTTCTCCCAGCACACGCGTTTCCTACCCAGATTCTTCTTTTTTTTTTAAGATTTATTTATTGTAGGGGCACCTGGGTGGCTCAGTGGTTAGGTGTCTGCCTTCGGCTCAGGTCATGATCCCAGGGTCCTGGGATGGAGCCCCTCATTGGGCTCCCTGCTCCACAGGGAGTCTGCTGCTCCCTCTCCTACTCCGCGTGCTTGTGTTCCCTCTCTCGCTGTGTCTCTCTGTCAGATAAATAAATAAAATCTTTTAAAAAAAAAAGGATTTATTTTAGAGAACGTACATGAACTCACATGTGCAAGCGGAGGGCAGAGGGAGAGTCGATCTGAAGCAGACTCCCGACTGAGCGTGAAGCCAGATGTGGGGCTTGATCTCACGACCCTGAGATCATGACCTGAGCCGAGACCAAGAGTCAGACGCTCAACTGACCGAGCCCCCCAGGCGCCCCTCCTACCCAGATTCTTGTGGAGGAGCAGCTGGTGGATGTTGTAGTGAAGACAGTCATAGATGTTTTCACTTTTAAACTAAGTGCAGAAAATTCTAATTGACCTTTCATTGCGTATGTAGGTAAAATTATTTTAACATTTGAGTTTCTACCAAATACTGTGTATTTTCTTTCAAGGTGCGAATAATGTTTGAAGTGCAGGACTTGAAATACGCCACGCTGGCCACGGTGTCGCGCTGCGGCATGGTCTGGTTTAGTGAGGACGTGCTCAGCACAGACATGATCTTCAACAACTTCCTGGCCAGGCTGCGCAGCATCCCCCTGGACGAAGGGGAGGACGAGGCCCAGCGCCGGCGCAAGGGGAAAGAGGACGAGGGGGAGGAGGCCGCTTCCCCAATGCTGCAGGTACAAGGGCCGTCAGCGCTCTGCCCAGTACGGCCACAGATCTGCCTCCGGGAGGCTGGGACTTCACATGCAGTGAGATCGGGCATTCCGCCCCCGAGGGTCTGGAAGCCAAGGGAGCCGTGGTACTCTTTCCCGGGTGGTCACTGTTGAAGCAGCGCACTCGAGGGAGGTTTGCATAATCAGTGCTGTCTTAAACCAGCTCCTAAGGAAGCAGTCTTCAGCTGCTTGTGAAGCATGTGAAGACATGTTTGGGAAAATTTAAAGAATTCTTTCGGTTATCCGACTTTTCTCTGCGAATTGATGAAACACTGCCTTTTTCCATTTCAGTGGTGAAAGCCAGTGTTCCCAGAAAATGTGATTTTTGAGAACTACCAAGATAACGGAATAAGGATTGGTCACTGAAGCTTATCCAAAAAACATTTTTTTTGCGGGTCACATGATCCTCTCCTGGGCTTAAGCGAGAATACATGAAAGTCTCTGGGCTTTCTGAAGTGATAGTTAAGTATCATTTACTGCCTCTTGCAGATCCAAAGGGATGCAGCCACAATCATGCAGCCATATTTCACCTCCAACGGCCTGGTCACCAAGGCCCTGGAGCATGCCTTCAAGCTGGAGCACATCATGGACCTGACCCGCCTCCGCTGCCTGGGCTCGCTCTTCTCCATGCTGCACCAGGCCTGCCGGAACGTGGCCCAGTACAACGCCAACCACCCCGACTTCCCCATGCAGATCGAGCAGCTGGAGCGCTACATTCAGGTCAGGGGCTGCACGCGTCACAGGAGAGCAGGGCTCCACCAGGGCCGTGCATGCATGACCTCTGTCGTGAGCCTCCCGAAACTGTATGCCCGCTTGGGTGTGTTCTCTTGGAAGGGAGCCACTCTCTTCAAGGTGAACATTGCTATGAATGTCTTTATTGTTGAAATTTTATTTTGTTTACTCATTCAATAGCGGTATCTGGTTTATGCCATACTCTGGTCCTTGTCTGGAGACAGTCGGCTGAAAATGAGAGCAGAGCTGGGTGAATACATCCGCAGAATCACAACAGTGCCACTGCCCGCTGCACCCAACATACCCATCATCGATTACGAAGTAAGTGCAGGGAGGGCGTGGCCTTCTTCCCCTTGATCTCGCCACGTTGGTTTAACTTCTGGAGCCACCTCACCGTGAGCTTGGCTTACTCTTTCCGGTTCATAAAAGGATTCTGACCTCTGTTTTATGTGGTATAAAAGGAAAGCAGATGTGAACGTGCAAGTTGTGATTTGTGTGAAAGCAAGCAAGTCTCTAAGCGAGGAGGTGTGGGGGTCCCCGAGTGAGCTGCGCCCCTTCTCTGGGTGTAGGTGTCCATCAGCGGAGAGTGGTCGCCGTGGCAGGCCAAGGTGCCTCAGATTGAAGTGGAGACACACAAGGTGGCGGCCCCCGATGTCGTCGTGCCGACTCTGGACACTGTCCGCCACGAAGCCCTCTTGTACACCTGGCTGGCTGAGCACAAGCCACTGGTCTTGTGCGGCCCCCCGGGGTCTGGCAAGACCATGACACTCTTCAGCGCCCTCCGGGCCTTGCCTGACATGGAGGTAAAGAGGCTGGGATGTGGGCAGCAGGCCTTTCGGTGCTCGAATACAGGATGGGCCTTACAGTCCTTCATTTGCTTCTCCCGTCCAAAGGTTGTGGGTCTTAACTTCTCGAGTGCTACTACCCCAGAGCTTCTGCTGAAGACTTTTGACCACTACTGTGAGTACAGACGCACACCTAACGGGGTCGTTTTGGCTCCTGTTCAACTTGGAAAGTGGCTGGTACTGTTCTGTGATGAGATCAACTTGCCGGACATGGATAAATATGGGACACAGAGGGTGATATCCTTCATCAGACAGGTTTGTGTATATCCACAAGTCCCCGCTGCCCTTGTTCACATTTGCTCCTGATGTGCTAACGCTCCCACTTTCCCTCAGATGGTGGAGCACGGAGGCTTTTACCGAACCTCAGATCAAACATGGGTGAAGCTGGAGAGAATCCAGTTTGTCGGGGCTTGTAATCCACCCACTGATCCTGGAAGAAAGCCCCTCTCTCACAGGTAACAGCTTTGTAGACTGCGCTGGCCTCACACGCACCTGTTCCAGGATTGTTTTAGATGTAGCACAACGAAAATCTGATCGTAATTATAAAAAGGTAACATAATACTGCTTATCATAGGGTGGCCCCTGGGCTCCTTTCGCTGTGCTGCAATCCCAGGAAAACACACTTGAAAATAAAAGCACTGACTCTTGAGTAGCAATGAGCTAACCACCGCCTAGGGCCAAGATGGGGTAGAATAAGCCTGAATCATTTTCCCATTTCCCATCTTTGCTTGGCTCTTTTTCAAATCTGCTGTTACATGTCAGAGCCAGGCCTGAGCGGGGTGTGTGTGATCTCTGTGTTGACTGTGACACGGAGCCTGCACGGATAGACGGGGAAGCAGCCCCGGGGGTGGGCCCGGGACGGGGCCGCTGACCACTCAGGCGCACCACTCCTTCCCTGGAGTGGCTGAGCTGCCTGTCCTCACACAGATTCTTGCGTCACGTGCCTGTTGTGTATGTGGATTACCCGGGACCCGCCTCCCTGACGCAGATCTACGGCACCTTCAACCGGGCCATGCTGAGGCTCATCCCGTCCCTGCGCACGTACGCGGAGCCGCTCACGGCCGCGATGGTGGAGTTCTATACCATGTCTCAGGTACTCGGGGCTTCTCTGCTCCTCTAGTAACTGAAGAACACTGTTAAAAGATTGAGCTTTAGTGAAAAAGAGACGTGGTTCTCGTGGTTGTGACTTGCCTGTCTTGGGGAAGCCTTCCCGAGGGCACGTGAGAGAGCTGCCCATCTGCCCGTGGGGTCAGCGTCATGCTCCTAGTGCTTTATGAGCACTTGCCTATCCCATGTTGCAAATGTTTTTCCTAGTATTTAGTTGGCTTTTAATTTTGTAGAACTGCAACTTACTCTGCAGAATTTTTGATGTCATCGAGTGTCTTTTTTACTTCTGCTTTTGAAATCATGCTTTCCCCGAACTTAGGAATTACCTTTTTTAAAGTGTTTTTGGAAGAATTTTTTGTACTTTCTTTTAAATATAATTAATTTTAATATAAAAATGAGCAACTTGGATCGAACTTTGTTCCTGATAGTTGTCCAGTTGTTCCAACATTACTAATTCATCCTTAAATATTCCAGGGCCTAGGTAGTTCATTTTCAATATAAAAATGTTATACAGCACTTGACCTTTTACTGACTTTTCATGTCTTCAGACATTTACACGTACCTCCACTTTTCTGAACCCGCAGGAGAGATTCACTCAGGACACACAACCCCACTATATCTACTCACCCCGTGAGATGACGAGGTGGGTGCGAGGGATCTTCGAGGCCCTGAGACCTCTGGAGACTCTGCCCGTGGAAGGCCTCATTCGGATTTGGGCACATGAAGCCCTCCGTCTCTTCCAAGACAGGTAAAGCCGAGGCTGCGGTTAGCTCCATGCTCCCCCACTCAGACGCTTACCACCCTCCGAGTTAGGGTGTAGGCAAGGCTGGCCTGCCCAGATTTGAGCCAGGCTCTGCTGGAGGCGGCAAGAGCGGACTTGTGTCTGGGCACCGAGCACAGCCACCCCCAAGCGTTGATGGGTCTCAGGGTGCAGGGAGCTATAATATAATTTTCACAGATTTCCCAAAATACCAGAGGCAAAATTTTGTTTTCATTAAAATGTAGCAACGGCAGTGTTGCTTGTAAATTCTGACTGGGCTGCAGTAACCGTGTGCCCTGCCTTCACTAGACCTGCACCTGGTGGCCTGCTCACTGTATCACAAGTCAGCTTCTCAGAAGGTGCCTGTGCCCGCCCTCCCTCCTCTCATCGCCCCCCCCCCGATAATCCACAAGGACAGGTCCAGTCTCACCTGCTTGCTTCATGGTTTTCTTTATAAGCCCTGTGTCTCTAGCGCTGTGCTTGTCACAGTTCCCATTCTTTTGTTCTCTTACTGCCCCCATGATATTGGGAACTTTATACTAAGCAAGTTGAGAAACTAGCGTCATGTTGTCGTTTTATCTTACTTTTTTAAGATTTTATTTATTTATTTGAGAGAGAGAGAGCACGAGCTGGTGGGAGAGGCAGAGGGAGAAGCAGACTGCCCGCTGAGCAGGGAGCCCGATGCGGGGCTTGATCTCAGGACTCTGGGATCATGACCTGAGCCGAAGGCAGACGCTTAATGACTGAGCCACCCAGGCGCCCCTCCTGTTCTATTTTAAAAATCAATGTGATCAGTCATTCTTAGAGGAGGAATTTTTTTTTACTTCTATTTGTTTCTGCTTTTGTTTTTTAAGTAATCTGTATACCCAACATGGGGCCTGCACTTAAGACCCCGAGATCAAGAGTCGCACACTCTACCAACTGAGCCAGCCAGGCACCCCTAGAGGAATTTTTTTAAATGTAGTGGTTCCATAGTTTTGAGGGGTTTTATATTTAATGTCAAAATTTTGGATCGTTAAAACTGTCTGGAGTTCAGATTCTTAAGTTTCTCCATTTGTAGAAAATGAAAATTTCTGGGGGCGCCTGGATGGCTCAGTTGTTGAGCGTCTGCCTTCGGCTCAGGTCATGATCCCAGGGTCCTGGGATCAAGCCCCGCATCGGGCTCCCTCCTCCGCGGGAAGCCTGCGTCTCCCTCTCCCACTCCCCCTGCTTGTGTTCCCTCTCTCGCTGTGTCTCTCTGTCAAATAAATAAATAAAATCTTTAGAAAAAAAAGAAAATGAAAATTTCTGGTAAAGGCTAATTCTAGCCCTTGGAGTTGCCCACAGCACCAACAAAACTTGGTGTTTTCACACCACGGCCTCTGGACTGATAGGCATGCCACTCTTCTTCCAACAGACTCGTGGAGGACGAGGAGAGGCGCTGGACGGACGAGAACATCGACATGGTTGCTCTGAAGCACTTCCCCAACATAGACAAGGAGAAGGCGATGAGCCGGCCCATCTTGTACAGCAACTGGTTGTCAAAGGTAACAGATAACGTCATTTCAGAAATACTTCCTTTTGTCCTTTTAGTTAGAATTCTCTTCTAATCAAAAATAGCTTTTTCCTGAAGCACCCTGTAAGTGAAGCAATGGGTATAGGCACGACTCACTATGTATTTGCTGATAACGTGGGGCAGACAGTCCCAGGGGTGCGGGGTGCGGCTGGGGCTGGCTGCCGCTCTGTGTTTCCTATTCCTGTGAAGTGACCGCTACAAGAGCCGTGCCCCTCCAGCCAGCAGGGGTCACGGCTTCCACGCGTTTGCAGTGAAAGGAGGCTTTCCCTTTGCTTTCACTTTCCTCACACTATAAAAATGAGCTAATTGTGAATAATTTGCATGAAAACATTTCATATACTTTGTACTAAACAAAGTTGACGTTCCCAGAATAGCTATGAGCTGTCCTTTTTCCAAAAGAGTAGGATGTTTTAGTAAGTTGTACTTTCAGTATGCATTTCATTCAGTAGGAAGTGCAGACAGAGGGATGAGTAAAGTCTTCCTGTAGGGAGCTCACACTCCAACAGGGGAGACAGACAGGTGGAAACGGCTCCGTCTGGGGAGAGATCTCGGTGGAGCGGACCCTGGCGTTGGGTCTTAAAGGGGGCTGCACGGAAGCAAGAAATAGCAAGATAGGTTTGTTTGGTGCTGCTAGAATTTTCTGGACTCCAGATCCTAATCCTGCTCATTTATAGGCACCATCTTCTTCCAGTGGTTCATCTGTCACTGTCTCTATGGTGTCTTTTGAAGAACCAATGTTATTAAAGTTCTGTCATTTAACCCATAATCCATTTATAATTGTGTGTGTATGTAGAGTGAGCTACAGGTCCATTTCCAGTTTTTCCTGAGGGGTGTCCATTGTCCCAACATAGGACCCAGCACTGTTGGTTGGATAATCCCTTAATTGGCAGCGTCTCTCTGTCATCCTGGGCTCCCCGCATGCAAGGGTCTGTTTCAGAGGCTCTGTCCCGTTCTGTTGATTATTTGTCCCTTCCTGTGCTCAGATTGCAGGGCCCTGATAGCGATGATAAAGTCTAATGGGTAGGCCTTCACACCTGCTGCTTCTTTAGGGACTTTTTGACCATCCTTGGCCCTTTCCTCTTCCAAATGAAATTAGAATTGGCTTGTCCAGTTATGCTAAAACCACCACTACTGTCCACCCTTGAGATTGAGGCCAGGATTACATTGGCTTTCTCTGTCAGTTTGGATGGAACTGACATTTTTACAGTAGTTTGCTTTCCTCTGCATGGTCATGGTCTTTGTCTTCATTTTTTTAGGTCTTTCTGTAAGGTCTTTTTAGTGAAGTTCAGTTTTCTCTACAAAAATTTTCCATGGTTTTAGATCCAGTCCTAGTTACTTACATTTTTGTTGTTATGTTGTAAATGATACCTTCTTTTGTTGCTTTTTTTTTTTTTTAAGATTTTATTTTTTAAACAATCTATACACCCAACATGGGGCGTGAGCTCACAACCCTAAGATCAAGAGTCTCATGCTCTACCGGCTGAGCCAGCCAGGCGCCCCTGAGTATATGGAAATATAACTGGCGTAATAACAAAGATGATTTCTTAGTAATTCGGGTCTTACCTTTTTTTCTACAGGATTACATCCCTGTAGACCAGGAAGAATTGAGAGATTACGTCAAAGCTCGGCTGAAAGTCTTCTATGAGGAAGAACTTGATGTCCCTCTGGTCCTATTTAATGAAGTGTTAGACCACGTGCTCAGGATCGACCGGTGGGCTTTTTGTTGTGACAGCCTCACCACTGGCCTAAGCTACTGTTAATGTAGTGGTGGGGGATCCTGCCAGGCCTCCCCACCTTCCCCCACCTCGCCTCCACCCCTGCTTCTCCACAAACGACCCCCCCCCCCGCGCCCTTCTCAGTCCAGCTTCTCTGTCCCATACTTGCCTGCTGCTCAGCACTTACTCGGGTCCTGCTAGCTGTCTCTTCCTACCACGATTGAAAGCTCCATTAGAGTTGGGTCTGTCTGCCTCCTGCCATCTGAGCTTCTGGAGGACAGGACCACATCCTACTGATCTTTGCATCCCCCTAGACCTGGCATATAGCAATTGCTTAACAACTGTTTAGCCTACAGATTGAAGTTAAAACACATTAAAAATGTTGCAGATTAACTCCTGAGAAAGTTTAGGACCTGAGTGTTGAAAGAGGAACAGATCATAAAAGCCTTGAATCGTATCTTTTTCTGATAATGTTTCAGAATATTCCGCCAGCCTCAGGGCCACTTGCTTCTGATTGGCGTCAGTGGAGCGGGAAAAACCACCCTGTCCCGTTTTGTGGCCTGGATGAATGGTTTGAGCGTGTACCAGATTAAGGTGGGTCTGGTCGACACTTCTTAATCCCAGCAGTGGATTCCTGATGCGTGCTCGCGGCTCCTTGATGAGAACGGACCTAACCTGCCGAGTACTTCTGTAGGTGCACAGGAAGTACACAGGGGAGGACTTTGATGAAGATCTTCGGACCGTGTTGAGACGTTCTGGCTGTAAGAATGAAAAGATTGCATTTATCATGGACGAATCCAACGTATTAGACTCTGGATTCCTGGAGCGAATGAATACGCTTCTGGCCAACGGGGAGGTAAGCGCCGCATGGCACGCTCTCGCGTACACGTGGCGGCGGGTTACCAGAACCAGCCAGCAGTCGTGCTGTCTCATTTGCTAGGTTCCTGGCCTCTTCGAAGGGGACGAGTATGCCACCCTGATGACCCAGTGTAAAGAGGGGGCCCAGAAGGAGGGCTTGATGCTGGACTCGCACGAGGAGCTGTACAAATGGTTCACCAGCCAGGTCATCCGCAACCTCCACGTTGTCTTCACCATGAACCCGTCGTCAGAGGGGCTCAAGGACCGCGCGGCCACCTCCCCGGCACTTTTCAACAGGTGCGCCGGCGTCTGCTCGGCTCCGGGTCCCGGGAGCCGGCTTCTCCCCAGGGGGCAGGCGCTGCTCTTGGGAGCTGTGTGAGCCGTGGGCGTCTTTTTCAGGTGCGTGTTGAACTGGTTTGGGGACTGGTCCACGGAAGCACTGTATCAAGTGGGCAAAGAATTCACAAGTAAAATGGACCTGGAGAAGCCCAATTACGTCGTGCCCGATTACATGCCAGTCGTGTATGACAAACTGCCACAGCCGCCGTCACACCGTGAGGCGATCGTAAACAGCTGTGTGTTCGTTCATCAGACTCTTCACCAGGTGGGTTCGGTGTCCAGGTCATGGAAAAGTAAACCAGCGCAGAGGAGAGCCGAGGGTACGTGGTAGTAGACGCGACGCCATGGCCCGTTTTCACCTCTGTCGGTGACACGTCCTCCTCGTCGTTGCCAGGCTGCCCCTTCTGGGGTCACCGACCCCCACTGCTCTCTGGTGTCTGCTTCTGTAAAGCTCCTCACCCCGCTGCCAGTGTGTGGGCGGGCCCTGGTTCTCCGTTCTGCACCGGGGGTCAGCACGCTTCTCCTGTAAAAGGCCAGGTAGTTAACGTCTTGGGCTTTGTGGACCAGGAGGGTCTCTGCACTACTCGGCCCTGCCTTGGTACACGGCCTCCGCAGCCCACATGTGAACAGGTGGGTAGGGCCGGGTGCCGCTAGCACTTTGTTTGCAGAAACATCAGCGGTGGCCAGGGTTTGCTGGCCCTTGCTTTAGACTCCTTGTCATGGAAGAGTCCAGTCGGCTGCTATCTGAAAGGCTTTGTGAAAATCACTCTGGGCCTGCGGGTGTCCCGTTGACCACCGCCCTGCCGCCCCTGCCGCCCCTGCAGGCTGCCCCCGTTTCCTCCGGAATGTGGCCTGGCACTGGCTTGCCTTGCTGGTCTCGTGTCCCGTTGCCCGGCTTTAGTCGGAGGGGCCAGAGCAGCCGGTCACACGGAGCTGTGCCCTCTTACCCTCTTCCTGCTGCCGTCTCCTATTTTGCCGTCCATGGAAAAGAAGCAGAGGCAGAGGAGGCATGGCACACAGTACCCCCAATTGCAGAGCCGATTCACACGGAGTACACGTGTGAGGTCGCCGAGGTCACCTCTGTGTTGTAGAGATGTTTAAGGAGAGAGCTTAGGGGGCTCAGGGGCTCCCTGGGATCCTACAGGAGGCTGAGCTGAGACCCCAGCTCAAGTGTGACTCCTGGGGGCTGAGTCCATGCCACCATGTCACCTGGCAGAGCAGTAGCTTTTTGAGGTGAAGTCACAGAGAATGTCCGAAGAGTGAAAAGATTGAACTCTTTTCTAAAAGGCTAATGCTCGGCTAGCAAAGCGCGGGGGCAGAACGATGGCCATCACGCCTCGCCACTACCTGGACTTCATTAACCATTACGCCAACCTGTTCCACGAGAAGCGGAGCGAGCTGGAGGAACAGCAGATGCATTTGAATGTCGGGCTCAGAAAGATCAAAGAAACGGTTGACCAGGTACATCCCAGGGCTTCGCTTCGCTTACAGGCAGGGGCCTGACGTGAGGACCCTTTCCAGGTGAGTTTTGCGTGATTCCGTTTTCCTAACGTGGCGTCTGTCCCTCAGGTGGAGGAGCTGCGGCGTGACTTGAGGATCAAGAGCCAAGAGCTGGAGGTGAAGAACGCGGCCGCCAACGACAAGCTGAAGAAGATGGTAAAAGACCAGCAGGAGGCAGAGAAGAAGAAGGTGTGTGTCTCAGGAGCCCTGGCCTGCTGGGTCTGTGCTGGCAGTCTCTGGGAGCGTAGGAAGTCTAGTCTGGGTGGGCTTCAGGGTTTGACGGGTTGGGATGGGGGTGTCTGGGTGGGGTAGGGAGTGTTCAGGAGTCACTCAGCAAAGTAACCAGTACTCCTAGCCGAGCCCTTCTTCCTTTCTAGGTGATGAGCCAAGAAATTCAGGAACAGCTGCATAAGCAGCAGGAAGTGATCGCAGACAAACAAATGAGTGTCAAAGAAGATTTGGACAAGGTGGAGCCTGCTGTCATCGAGGCCCAGAACGGTACGTCGGTGCTGTCTGATCTGGTTTTCTAGAAAGGGTGCCCTCCATCCACGGTGCTGTGGAAGGTGCGGACTGAGCCTGCTCAATATCTCAAGGCTTTCCTAAACACTGAAGACTTGTCTTCATCTCATAAAGCAAAGTTCTTATAACGCTACGCTGTTTTCACCAGAGTAGAACCCTTCTCATGAGAGACAATTGACAAAATAAGGTTTATGTGAATACATGGGTTTTTTAAAAAATCTGGTGATAATTACATGAATATGCTCTTAGGAATCCCTGACTTGAACGTCAGCAGAAATGCCATAAAGCGTGCAGTGTTGCCATCTCGTGGTTGTCCAAGCGTGCTCCGGCTGGGCCAGCGACTGCTGACTTAGATGCTGTAGCAGGCGCTCCCCACCCTGCCCCTGCCCCGGGCCCGCCCCTCCCCTGTGCTCCCTCCCGGCCCCACGGTGTTTGTTCCACACACGAAGTCTTCCTATTACACCATAGGAGGAATTGACAGACACCGTCCCAACTATAGATTTTCCTTGAGAGTCAGATTAAATGAGAACTTCATATAGTTTTCACTGCCAGGTAACCACTGAGAAAGTGTTTCCATAAACGTTCAGGCCAGATAACTGTGCTTCAGCTTGTAGAAGGCATCGGCCATCCCTTTAGAACTATATTCACCCAGCCAGGCAGACAGTTTCTAAATTCTGGCAGATTGAAAACATCTTTGCTTAAATTGTGGAAGACAACGTACGTAATTACAATACCTGAATTGTTCTAAGTTTTTCTGGAGGTGAAGGAACTAATGGGGGCCTGTGAGATCGCGGAAGGCAGCGTCCTGCTGTTTGCAGAATGTTCCATGTGGGCTTTAGTTAGTACAGTGAGGTCTTCGTATTTATTTAAAAGGTCGGTTACTCCTACTATTCTAGTTTAAGTTTAAAGACAAAGTCTCGTTTGCTGGGACCTTCTGAGCAGTGACCCCTCCCCTCGTCGGAGCCACGGCTCTGGTGTGCGGCGGCCCCTCACCGTGCTTCCTCTGTCCCCCTCCCGCCCCCACCTCTTCTGCCGCCGCTGCGCTCAGCCGTGAAGTCGATAAAGAAGCAGCACCTGGTGGAGGTGCGGTCCATGGCCAACCCTCCCGCGGCCGTGAAGCTGGCGCTCGAGTCCATCTGCCTCCTGCTGGGGGAGAGCACCACGGACTGGAAGCAGATCCGCTCCATCATCATGAGGGAGAACTTCATCCCCACCATCGTCAACTTCTCTGCGGAGGAGATCAGGTAAGCGTGGCCAGGAAGCAGAAGACAGTGCCCAGGCGTTGGGAGGTGGCCATGTCACGGTGCCGGGAGTACGCCAGAAGGCGGCGTCCGTTACGTTAGCAGCACACATAGCTTTGGGCCGCTTCCCTCAGAGGAGGAGTCCGATTTCTTCCTCCCGTTCCTGGCACTAGCTTTCCGATTCCTTAGCCCCTGTGAGCCAAGTCCTGCGCCATGGCCACGAATAGTCCACTCCCCCCCAGAGCTGGTGCGGGACACTGCCTCCCGTCGGGGGAGGGTCGGGGCAGGAGGGGCAGAGGCCTTCCCGGCGGCAGCGCGCACCACTGTCACCCGGAACACGGGCGGGTCTGGTCACGGGGGCAGCAGGTGGGAACCGGCCTTTACGTTCCGGTTTCCTAAAAACTCTACATTCACCCCACACGGGCTTAGAACGACGTTTCCTCTTTTGCAGCGACGCCATCAGGGAGAAGATGAAGAAAAACTATATGTCCAACCCAAGCTACAACTACGAGATCGTGAACCGGGCGTCCCTGGCCTGCGGGCCTATGGTGAAGTGGGCGATCGCACAGGTAGCCAGCGCCGCCCGGGGCTCGTGTGTGAAAAGCCACGTCCCGTCCAGTCGCTTGTGAAGAATAAGTACCGTTTGTCCTCCTCAGCTTAACTACGCCGACATGTTAAAGCGAGTGGAGCCCCTGCGCAATGAGCTGCAGAAGCTGGAGGACGACGCCAAGGACAACCAGCAGAAGGCCAACGAGGTGGAGCAGATGATCCGGGACCTGGAAGCCAGCATTGCCCGCTACAAGGAGGAGTATGCCGTCCTCATCTCGGAGGCCCAGGCCATCAAAGCAGACCTGGCCGCTGTGGAGGCGAAAGTAAGATTGTCGCCAGGCTGTGCCTTTCTGCCGACTCCCTTAGCTCTGTCTTCCCGTGTGCACGCCCCACGTTCATCTCGGCCAGCTAGCTCTGTGGTGTCCGAGAGGCCCTGCCGGCTTCCCGGAATAGTTACTGAGTGGCGTTAATTAAGACAGGTGGATACCAGGGGGTGATCTGAAGCTGGTGAGCCCCCTCCCCACACCAGCCCCCAACCTGTGTCGTCACCCACCTCAATTTCAGTGGGGTCACCAAAGGCCTGGTTGTCTGTCTGACATCCACTGCTGTGTGCATCACCCATGCCCATACTCCTCCCGAATTCCCAGATTATTCTCCTCTCCCACCAGCAGTGTTTCTTTCCTCTGGCCAACCCTCTACCTCGAGCACTCTTCCTGCCCAGTTTCCGCTTCCATGTACACCTCAAGGCTGACCCCTGTTTGTCTACACTCCCTCGTGCCTTGCTGAGGTTCTGAGGCCTGTGTTGTCCTCCGTCATGGAGGAGCTGGGTCACCTCTCCTCCGAGACTGAACAACTGGAGCATTATTTCTGTCTCTAGCCCACCCAGAGCCCTGTGCGGGGACAGATTTTCACTTGTCAGTATAAATCCTGCTTGATTTTCCCTTTAGGTAAACCGGAGCACTGCTCTTCTGAAGAGTTTGTCTGCTGAACGTGAACGATGGGAAAAAACAAGTGAGACTTTCAAAAACCAGATGTCCACCATCGCTGGGGACTGCCTCTTGTCGGCGGCGTTCATTGCCTACGCAGGTTACTTTGACCAGCAGATGCGTCAGAACTTGTTCACCACCTGGTCCCACCACTTACAGCAAGCCAACATCCAGGTAATGGGCCAGAGCGAGCTCCACAGCGTTAAACGCGTGAGCCAAACTGGTGCCCAGGCACCTGTCATTTTGAAGAGGAGGGTAACTGCGCTCCCCTTGCAGTTCCGCACAGACATCGCGCGGACCGAGTACCTCTCCAACGCCGACGAGCGTCTTCGCTGGCAGGCCAGCTCCTTACCTGCAGACGACCTGTGCACGGAGAACGCCATCATGCTGAAGCGGTTCAACAGGTACATGCTAAGTGCAGAGAGAGCAGCTTGCAAGTTCGTACGTGCAGTGGGCCCATTTTTGTTTTTTGAAAACACATCTTTGAGGAGCTGAATAGAAACGTGGCAGTGAGCAAGCAGCGCAGGTAGGCTGGGCGCCCGTCTCTGATGGTGGGGTACACACGGTCCTCAGCCTCACTTCCTGACCATCTGAATTGTTCTGCTGTGAGCCTTTCTTGTGTAACCTTTCAGGGCGGATTGGCAGGGCCGTATATTGGGGTGAACAATAGAACAGATCTTCTCAAAATACTATAACAACTGAAAATACTTCGCTGAAAAGAGTTAAAGGGGAAACTGGTACCTGGTTTGTGGCTTAAGAAGCCAGAGTAAGAAGTGAAGAATGACCGCAGGGAGGGCAGGCTCGACACTGGCTCAGGGGGGTCCTCGGGGCCCACCCCACGTACAGGGCCCCTGGCCCTCTCTGCGGCAGCTCTCAAACCCAGACACCTTGGGTGTTTCTGACTTTATCTCAGTATCTTGAAATCCTTGAGCCCTTGAAGTGTGTCACTGACCCACAGACAAAAGAGGAGGAAGACTTTTGTAGGTGTCATTTGATTTTGTGAGCAACCCCTCAGGCCCCACCAGTGGCTCCGTGTCTTGCTCTTAGATGGTCCTGGTGAGAATACTGACCCACCCATATGGTCTGTGCTGGGCCGGATTCCTCTAAATGAGAAGTACGCACACTCCTAGGTGCTGATCCGGCAGGAGCGTGGCTCACGTGACGAATGACAAATATAAGGACAGAGCGTGACTGATAGACTGACAGCACTTCGGGTGCTCTGCATCTCCGTGGTGGGGGGCTGGGGCCTTTGCCAGCCAGGCCACCCATGCAGTCTGCGTGCGGAGGGCGGCTCCAGCAGGCCGCGAACGAGCAGGGCAGGCCCACCTGTGGGCGGGAGTGCTCCCCACAGACACACGGACCCACGCCCACACGTGTGTCTCTGAACCCCTGGACCTTCTCCGAGTAGACATATCAGAAACTGGTGACCAAAAATAGGGGAAGGGGGCGGTTCTTCCCACCAGATGCCCTTTCACAGCTTCTGAATTTTGTGCAAACACATGTATGTGCAGTACATGTTTTTAAAACAGGTTTTTATTTTTTTTTATTTTTT